AAAAAAAAAAAAAAAAAAAAAACAAACAACAACAAAAAAATAAATTTCATTGCATTGTATCTGTTATCTTTTCAGACTGTGTAGAAGGTAATGAGTACACAGTAAGTTTGATGAAATAATCATATATTAATATCAACAAAATACTTTAAAACCCTTTGAAACATTATTTGAAGTGTTTGGTAAAAGTAATGTGTCAGTGTAGGATGTGGTTTTCAGGTTTTTTTGTGGTGCTTAGGATTGAATTTAGGCCTTGTGAATGCTAGCTAAGTTCTGTACAACTGAGTTACATTCCAAGCCTAGGTTTTTAAAAATGTTTTTACATACAAAGGATAGTTTATAGTTGCTAATTATTATAAATATATGTTTTTTATTTTAGTTATTTACCTCTTTAATCCTTTTCTGTATTGGGAATATATAATATGCCTACTTCTTTGACTATTCTGTTTTAAAAAAAAAATCAGAAGAGGTGAGATTCAAAAGATAATAAAGGGACTCTGTGTAAGTATACGTCAGCGGTAGCACACTAACCTAGCATGCTGGAGTCTCGGTTTGATTCCCAGAATAACTCTCCCACCCTATAAAACTGATTTAAGTAAAAGATAAAATAAGAAGAAAGGGAAAGAAATAAATTTAGTAGTAGCGTGTTTAAAGGAAAATATTTTGAAAAATTGAAAATGATATTTAGAAAGAATAGTTTCGGTAGGAAACTTTGAAAAGCAAAAGAAGATAATGTATGTGTAGTAGTTTTAAAAGTAAAAATTGTGGCGTGAATACTTTGCCTTCTTCATGTAAAATTGAAAAAATGTAAACCATAATTAGTACAGATTGTGATTTTCGAGACCTTACCTTGAAAATTGATTAAACCTGTGAGTGATTTTGATATATCTAAATTTCTGTGTGAAGCGTCTCAAAAGTAGGAAGTAGTAGTGTCAGTAAAAATAAAATGTGTACCTCAATGTCATAGTTAAAGAATAAATAAAACTCTAGGAATTTTTAACCTTTTCTTAGAAGTAATTGATAAGTTACTGATTGTTAAATAAAATATTTTTTATTAAATACTGTGTAATAATTTTTGTTATAATTTTACAACATTGTTTCTATTGAAAAAAATCTCTTAATGTCAAAATAAAGGCCGCTAAAAAAATTAGGACTGTGGGTATAGCTCAGTAATAGAGCAGTTGCCTAGCATGCTTAAGGACCCTGGGTTGATAGGCCAGTACCACAAAAAAAAAAAAGGAAACTTAACATTGACAAACTTTTTATTCAGCTCACTTTCTATTGTTACTCAAAAAGCATGTGTACAGGAAAATTTGGGAAATGTTAAGTTGGTATAAAGTAGAAAAAAAATCATGATTTTAATCTCATCGCCAAAGAGGATAAGCACCTTCATTTTTTTTTTTTTTTGGTTTTTCTCCGGTACCAGGAACCGAACTCACGACCTTGCGCTTGCCAGGCAGGCGCTTTTGCCGCTGAGCTAAATCCCCAGCCCACCTTCATTCTTTGATACGTCTCTTATTTCTTTCTTTTACTGCCATAGTCTTTTTGGTGTTTTTGAGTCAAGGTCTCACTATGTAGCTCAGACTGGCCTTGAGTGCGCATTGTAGCCCAGGCTGGGCTCGAGCTCTGAGCAACCCTGCTGTCTCAGCCTCCCAAGTGCTAGAATTATAGGCATGTGCCACCAGCCAAGGCTTTTCTACCACAGCATCTAAAAATGTTCTGAAATATAGCAAAATATACTTAACAGAAAATTTGGTATATTGACCATTATTAAGTGTACCATTTAGTGGCAATGTGTTCTTTTTTTTTTTTTTTTTCCAGCCTTGAGTTCACTTTTTAGCCCAGGCTGGTCTCGAACTCAGAACGATCCTCCTGCCTCAGTCTCCTGAGTGCTGGGATTACAGACATGCACCATCATGCCCAGCTGGCAACGTGTTATTGTATAGCCTTCAACCATTGAAGTTTTTCATCATGCAAAATTGAAACTCATTAAATAGCAAGCATTTCTCATCCCCCTTTCTCTCTGGCAGCCAGCATCTACTATTGTCTTTATTAATTTAACTGCTTTAAGTGGCTTATATGAATCAGTTTTGTAATTATTTGTCCTGTTATAACTGGCTTTTTTAACCAAGCACAGTGTGTCTTCAGGGTTCATCCACACAGTAGAATTTGTTAAAATTTACTTCTTAAGGTTAGTATTCCGTTGTATACATATGTCACATTTTACTTACCGTTTGTGCATTGATAAGACAGTTGGATTGCTTTTACCTCTTGGTGATTACAAATAATGCAGTTCTGAACATGAATAGATAATGCCCCTGTTTGCAGTTTTCTTATGTGTATACCTAGAAGTGGAGTTGCTGGATCATGTAATTCTATTTTTAATTTTTTGAAATACTCCCATAGTGACTTGCCTAGCAGCTCTGTCATTTTACATTTCTACTAGCAGTTTACAAGGATCATAAGTTCTCTACATCTTCACCAGCACTTATTTTCTGGGGTTGGAGGGTTTGGTTTTAGTATATGGTATTTTTAAAAAATTTTCATACACATTTTTTTTTTTTTTTGGTACCAGGAATTGAACTCAGGACCTTGCACTTGCCAGGCAGGCACTTATGCCACTGAGCTATATTCCCGGCCCATATTTTTTAAATCAAACCTTTAGCTAGAACTTCCAATCATGTGTTTATTGACTATATTTTGAATATTAATCTCTTATCATGTAAATGATTTGCAATTATTTACTGTCATTTTATCTGCTGCCTGTTTACTCTGTTCATAGTGTCCTTTGAGACACATAAGTTTTTAATATTGAGGAAGCCCAACTTTTCATCTTTTTGTTGTTGCCTCTGCTTTTATTTAAAACTGTGAACGAGAGGCAGAGGCTGAGGCACGAAAATGATGATTTTGAAGCCAGCCTGGGCTACATAGCAAGACTCTGTCTAAAGAAAACGAAAACAAACTAAAAGGACCCTCTCCACACCACATACAAAACAACCTACATCACCAAATCCAGTGTCTTAGAGATTTTCTTTACATTTTCTTTTATCAGTTTATATTTGTAAGTCACATGTATGGGTGTTTTATCCATTTTGAGTTAGTTTTCATATGTAACAATGACTAGGGTCCAACCTCCGTTTTTACATAGGGATACCCATTTTCCCTGTGCCTTTTGTTGAAAAGACTTCTCACACAAAAATTTGTCACTGGGCTCTGTGTTCTAGTCCACTGGCCTATATGTGTGTTCTTAATGATGATACCACACTATTTTGAGTACTGTCAAGTTGTAGTAAATTACAAATGAGAACATGTTTGTTTTCTGACTTAGTCTTCTTCAGGATTGCTTTGGCTATTGCATATGAACTTTTGGAATGATTTTTCTATGTCTCCAAAACATGTCATTCAAATGTTGATGGGAATTGTAGTAAATCCATAGATGGCTGTGGGTACTAGACATCTGAACAATTTTCCAGTCCTTGAACACAGGATATCTGTCTAGTATTTGTATTTACTTCATTTTCATTCAAGTGTTTTGTGGTTTTTAGTATGCCTTTCACCTCCCTGTTTAACTTGTATATGATTTATTCTTTTCAGTGTTGTTGTAAATGAAATGTTGGTTAATTTCTTTTTTAAATTGTTCATAATCAGTATTTAGGAATGAAACTGATTTTTTTATGTGTTGATTCCATGTCCTGCTACTTCGCTACTATCATAAGACAGTGGCAAAAGTTTGAAGGCTTTTCCCTAAAGTTGGAAAAAAGATGAGGATGTCACTCCTAGGTTTTACCACTTCTATTCAACGTAGTACTGGAAGTTCTGGTTGGAAAATTAGATGGGAAAAAGATACAAAGGCATTTAAATTGGAAAAGAAGAAGTGAAATTATTGATCAGCATGCTTTATCATGTTATATGTAGAAAACCTTAAAAAGATTTCACAAAAATTCTTAGAAGACCTAATAAATGATTTAGCCAGAGTAACAGGATTCATCTCTTTCTTTAAAATGCAATTTTAGTTAAAAGTAATAAAATTAGTACAATCTGCGTTTTTTTTTTACTTTTAAAAATGTTTCAGTCCATACATTTCTCCTAATGAGT